TAAGTTACTTAATATTACAGACACAGTACAAAGTCAATTCATATTATTAAATTCACATTAGGAAAAGGGCACCCATAATCATTGTAATCTCTTGTTCATCCAGCACAAACTGCTTCCAACCTAGAATAGCAAATATCATGAATCAAATTTAATGTTATCTCTTTAATACTTTCCACATGAAAATCAAATCCTTACAAACTTTTAGTACTTGTATAAACCATGGATTTCATATGTCTACCTCTAAGTGTTATATATTAATACAAGCAATAAAAATACATATTCACATAGGTAGCTGCTCTAAATTGTATTCAGTAGCTTAAAAAATTCTAACAAAATCTTATGTTATTATGCTATATTATGATATTATTTTTCGGTAATGAAAAAATTATGAAGGCAGATTAAATTCTGTTTTACAAAGAGGAGGCTCAGTTTCAGAAGTAACGATTAACCACATTATTAGCTGTTGCCAAAATAGACTTTAAAATTCCATCTATAGTCTAAGACTTTAAAATGTAATAAACACGTTTTAAAAGGATATTTAAAAAGTAATCATACAATTTTAAAAGTGCATGTGAAAGTTTATTTTAATTAGAATTATAATGATCTACTTTTTAATTTAAAAAAGTGATTGTCTACCATTTATTTCCAGTCTGAGCCTACAGCATAATGTTCTTTGATAGAAACAGTTACCCAAACTATACCAACATGTCCCACCATTCACAAAATATATACCAGAATTACCTTATCCCACCATTACAAGGCTAAACATTGATTTGTAAAATATTATGGAATATTAAATTTGTTATTGAAAATTAAAACCTTATTGAAAATTTACCATACCCCCAGAATTGCGTATGATAGCGCTGGATGTCTGAGGGGGATATTCAAATCCTCCATGGTTACCTTTTAGATTATTTAGGAAGAAAGAAGGAAAGAAAGAGAGAAACAATAGTTCTATTAAATCCACAAATTATATCACTAATCACAGATATATTCAGACCTATAGTTAATGTTTTTTAATTCTTCAAATTTACATATTTTTCTTCTTTATAGGATCTCACTGCCTTTTGTTCTTCAGAAATTAAGCACAGCCAGATTCACCTTTTATTTTTTTTCCCCCACCATCATAATGTTTAACAGAGGGTGAACAGAAAAATGAAGATAAATTAAAACTGAATTGGCTTTTTTCTTATTTTAACATATTTCAGCTTAAATATTTAGATGAATAAAGAAAAATCAGAAATTTAAATAGTTTAGACATTATCTACAGATTTAAATTTTATTATTTCCTAAAGCATTAGACCACATATAACCATATGTATGCATTACACACAGATAAATATCATATATGTTGTAAGTACTCATATATAGACACAGCGTATAGTGAGGTATACTTATTTCTAAATATAATTCTAAAAGAGAACACTATACTTTTACAACTTGGGGATAGAATTCTCAAATTCCAATACTTTCCCCAACCAGTTCAAGCAAGTAACTCCACTCTGTGTATGTGGCAAGTTACAAGTTAGAATCGACCTTGGATGATGTGATCAAGGCCAGAGGTTATCTTTCCTTTCCCAGACAATGCTGATCTAGATGCTGGCTCTAGAAAGTAGCCGGATGGACTTGGCTGCTCTGTATTTAATTAATGATGTTTCTGGCAAGGTCACAAGGGATATCATTAGATAAAAATGATTCTAATTTTGAAATCATAAACTATTCTATAAATTATAGGAAAACAGAGATATCAAGTGATTGATTGCATATATTCAAGGCTTGTTCTAACAAAGATATATGAATCAATACATTGTTCATTTATATAAGAAGTTAAGTAAATTATTCAAAGACAATTTATCCATGGATCTGCAATGTTGATTCTTCTCCTTTCCTTTATGCCTCTTGGACATACTATTTTTCATTAGCATAAAGTAGTTAGAAAATAAGGACTTAACATTTGAATCAACCAATTTAATGATATTTGGTAGCATTAGTAAAATAAAAATGAATTTGAGTCAAGTAGATATATTTATCTTTACAATGGAACACATTTTCAGTATGTGTACAGCTTTCATTTTTCCTATGTGTTGAACGATAATGGTTGATTTTACTGGGGCATGTTTTAGTAAGAATGTTTTGGTGAGACAAAACAGGAAGAAAATACAAGTTAGAGAGGAGGATGAAATACAGATTTAAAAAAAAAATCTCCTTCACCTTTTCATGAAAATGAGGGTTACTTGGAGTAACATACTAGCAAGTACCCAATTTTTAAAGTTTGCTGAAAATAGAAGCTATTTAATTTAAAGAGAAACTCTGAGACTTTGTTTTGTAAAACATGAGTTCATTTAATTATTTTTCCCCTTAAACATTATAATGATAATACTTACGGAATGCTACCTAGAAAAAAATAATTCATTAAATATTCAGATTCCCCTATAATATAAACATAGCAAAAAGAATCACAGAAGCTCAGTCTTATCAGAAACTCCATCAAACAAAAGAGGAGTTCTCCTTCCAGTATCTCTTGTTTCCAGTTACTCAGTGTGTGCCTAAATAGAGCCAGACCTATCAGGAGCACAGTGTGTTATAAAGAGTCCAGGCTCTTTGAAGACCCTATCACCCAGTCCTAATTCTGCCAAATCTAGGGAAAGCCTCCATTTCTGCATTTCTGTTGTTGTTGTTAGGTGTTATCAAGTAGGTGACTCATAGCGACCCTATGCACAACAGAACGAAACACTGCCTGGTCCTGGGCTAATCTCAGAATTGTTGCCACACTTGAACCATTTCTAGAGGAAAGAAAATCCCTCAGAGTTGCTGTGCAGATTAACCAAGATCATGTAGGAAAGGCACCTTGCAAAGTACCTGACGCTGAGTATTTGCTTGTTCACTTTACCTAGAAAAAAATCTGCTCAAGTGCCAATCAACTCTGCTTTCCTTAGAGAAACAAGAAAACACACTGGCAATCTGCCATTTTTCATATGATGTGCTACTAAATATAAACGCTGAGTAGCAAAAATTCAGTTTCCATATCCCATTTTTTTAACTAGAGAAAAATTCTAATACAACGGAAAATATTTTAGTCACTTGAGGTAAAACTTTTTAGAAATAAATAGGATCAATTCCTCAAAATAACTGGAGGAAGTAGTACTTGGCAGAGATCTGAAAATTTCACTTCGAGAGCCTGGAAGACCTGACTATCTTAAGCTGCTCTGTCCTTGGCTAGACCGGATGACTTATTTTATGTCGTCGAAACTACCAGCCGCTCCGCGGAAGAAAGATGAGGCTTTCTACTCCCGTAAAGATTTACACCCTTGGAAACCCTGTACAGGGTCACTATGGGTCGGACCCGACTCGATGGCACTTAACAACAACAACAATGAGGTGTTAGGACCTAGAAGTAATTTAGAGACGCAGGCCCAGGCCCATACCTGTTCTTTATATAAAGGACACTGAGGAACAGACTAGAAAGCTTGGCCACCTCACTTTCTATCACTTGATGTCACCATACTATTCTCAAGTTCAGATAAAAAATCTTCCTAGTAGAGGGAGGAGGTATGTGTAACTTTTAAAAAACAAACCTGATCAGATGAGTCTATGGTCCCAAAATAGGCTTACAGCCAAGGCAAATCAGTGTCTCTGATACAACACAAAATATTACTGCAGACAAGTGACATCTAGGTGACAATGGAAGGTCAAATATTTTAGGAAATAGCTCCTTTTATAGTTCCAGAATTCACGATAACCTATTTCATTATATGTTAATATAATGAAAAAATATTTGTCATTTCAAATTAGTTCTTCACCTGAAAAATTATACCAAGTAACTAGAATCTTAAAGAGATTAATTCATTCATGTAAAAGAGTTTTTCCTGGATCAAAAATAAATGTGTCACATTTCATTTCCTACTATAAAAATTAGAGAATGCGTTCTTATACTGCAAGCATATGAAAACTTAATATACATTTGAGTTACACATTTTAAGGTAAAAATATCTGAAATGTTTGAATTTCTGTTTATTAATCTCCACTGTGCCCTAATTTTTCTTTAGAAAACAATATATTCAGATCTGTAGAGACTCATCAAATGAAGTTACACTGTGCTTACGTAAGTTTATAGAGAGAAGAGTACTTGTTTTACTTGAATATTTATTATGTTTATGAAGAATGAAATACTACAACTAAATTGTTGATGGATCTTTTGACATGTCAATATGAAACATGTGCACACTTAAACATATTTATAATAAAACATGTTGTTCCATTATATCCATGTATATTTGGCACTCACATTAGAAATAAACCAGCATCTGTATTATATTACAATATACAAGGGTTTGTTCCAGAAAGTCGTGTTCACTTGGGGGTTAGCGTCTATTCATTTACTTGATCTTCGGCAGAGAACAGGATACAAAATTATTCCAATATGTATCTACTCTATAGAACATGTGCTAGTGGAAAATCTTTGTTCTGCATTATGTTAGCACAAATCACAGTAAGCATATCCAAAGAACTTTCTCTTCCTGAGGGAAAAAAATCCTGGACACATTTAACAGTTTTTGGTACTTTTCTGTAAATGTCTGTGTATGAACGCATGTTTTTCTCACTTAAAATGTTTATTGGTTTTCTTCAAAAAAGCATTACATGATTATTGTAGATTTTTTTTTTTTTTTAATTGAAAAAGTATAAGGTAGGGAAAGAAACTCACCTAAATCCAGAATTCAAAAACCGCTGTTATTTACCTTTTATTTTTACCATTTCTGTATGTGCCTACACATTTCTTTACATTAGTATGGCAAAAGACATTAAATAGGGCAGAATTGTTTGGTGAATACATTAATATCAAACATAGATAATATTTTCTGTAGAGTTGAATTTCAGTTGAAGGCAAATACATCTTCTTCAAGAATCTCAAAGAACCTGTCACACTTTTCAATCAGTAGATCATTTTATAAAGCAGGAACTGCGGTGAAAAAGCAAAAAGACTAGATGTAAGCTCTACTTACTTCATCATCATCGGCATCATACTGGGCATAGTGCTGCTCAAGCAGCTCTCTTTGGCGTCTTTCTTGTTCCAGAGTTTGGCTTATCAACTGGGCAACTTCACTCACTTGTCCTGGTTTTTCCCGCCCAATAACAAATCTGTAGAAAAGTTAAAGAGGACTAATATAGTTAGACCCGCCAGGAAAAATGAGTGCTCAAAAGAGTAAATAAGTCTAATACTTCAAGTCGCAATTAAGTATTACCTATATACAAGGCTTAGTGTGGTGGTGCAAAATAAGCGTCGGGCTGCTAACTAAAAGAATGGCAGTTCAAACCCACCAGCTGCTCCTCGGAAAACGTATCTATTAAGGGTCTATTTGAGCCAGACCCAACTTGGCAGCACTTAACAACAGGGTAGAAGAATACATTAGCTGAGCAATTAAAGCAATCTTCTAGGACACAGCGCTCACAGAAAAAGAGGACAAAGACTACAACAATATCTAAGAACTAACATTTTAGGAGAAGGAACAGATATAATCCATTCTAGAGTGCTTTACACATTTTTGATTATCTTACTAATATAATAGCAAACTAATAGTGTACTCTTTATAAGGCAAAATTGCTCAGAAACATTTAAAAATGTAGCAGCACCTATGTCAGTAAATAAAATGAAGGGGCACTAAAGTTTTTGCTAACTTATAACTTTGAAGGTGAATGAGAAAAGAATGGGGAAGAAAAGCAGTATTTTTTACATCATGTTTTATAAAATTGAAAATTAAAATAATGAAAGGTGCTGAATTCATCATTTTCTTCTGGAAAGGTGAGACTTCTAGAAATAAAGGAACAAAAGAGAGTTATCTGTTGATATTCATTCTTGTAAGAAAAAATTCCTGGAGACAAAAACCATGGAAGACATTTACTGATTGCAAGTAACAGTTAATAGTCAATTCCTCAACAAATTGACTTTTGTTCACCAAATTAATTTTCACTTTTGAAAATCTTATTAAGATAATATTTGTTGTTGTTGTGAAGTGCCACTGAGTTGTTTCCAAACCATAGCGACACTGTATAGGGCTTCTGAGGAGCAGCGGTGAGCTTGAAGCACTGACCTTACAATTCAAACGGCTTTGAAGTCTGGCGCATTAACCCACAGGGCTACACCAAGACTCTAGATAATATATGGTCCTATTATTTAACAACCTGCGGTATTGCAGATAATACAACCTTGCTTGCTGAAAATGAAGAAGACTTAAAATATTTACTGATGAAAATCAAAGAGCACAGCCTTCGGTATGGATTGCATCTCAAGGTAAAGAAAACAAAAATCGTCACCACTGGGCCAATAAACAACATTCTTAGCAACAGAGTAAAGATTCAAACTGTCAAGGATTTCACTCTTAGTACTATCAACACTCACGGAAGCAGCAGTCAAGAAATCAAATGATGTATTGCATTAGGCAAATCTGCTACACAAGACCTTTTTAAAGTGTTGAAGAGCAAAGATGTCAGCTTGAAGACTAAGGTGCGCCTGACTCAAGCCATGGTATTTTCAATACCCCATATGCATGTGAAAGCTGGGCAATGAATAAGGAAGACCTTAGAAGAATTGATGCTTTTGAGTTATGGTTTTATAGGAGAATACTGAAAGTGCCATGGGCTGCCAAAAGAACCAACAGATCCGTGTTGAAAGAAGTGCAGCCAGAGTGTTCCTTGGAGGCCAAGATGGCCAAACTTCATCTCTCATACTTCAGACATATTGTCAGGTGAGACCAGTCGCTGGAGAAGGATATCACGTTTGGTAAGGTGGAGGGTCAGAAAAAAACAGGAAGACCCCCAGTGAGGTGGATTGGCAAAGTGGCTGCATCAATGGGCTCAAGCATGGCAAGAATAGTGAGGTTGGCCCAGGATTGGGCAGTGTTTCGTTCTGCTATGCATAAGGTCGCTATGAGTTGGTACTGACTCGATGGCACCTAACAACAACAACAACAGCAACAATTATTTAAAAAATGAAAATAATACATCTCTAGAATACAGTTTCTAAATATCACATGTGATTCAGTTTAATCTTCCAATTCTATATTGAATGTTTTCTTCTTATGATAACATGTTACTGTAGTCAACCTTAATTTTGTACTAAATACTCTGGTCATCTCTGTAGAATTGTATGAAAGGTCAAGAAATTTTAAGTTTAGAAATATTTTTACATCCTTTCAAACAAGATTTAAATTTTAAATTATACTTAGGTCTTCACTTATATACTACTTTGGGGAATCAAGAATTTATAGAATCTATATATATATATACTTTTCCATTATTATTTAAGTAGAATTTATGGACAGTCAAATACACACCTATTTAAAATGTATAGTTCAAAAGTGTGACAAATATATACACCTGTAATCACCATACTAATCAAGATTATATAATATTCCCAACAGCTCAAAATATCCCCTTATTTCTTTCCCTGTAAATTATTCTCACCCTGAGCCCCAAAAAACCACTAGTATGTTTTTTATCAATACGTACTAGATTTTTCTTTTGTACACTATCATATAAATGGAAACAGAGTGTGTCTGACTTCTTTCACGTTTTTCATGTTTTTGAGATGTATCAATGCTGTTGTAATGATCAGTAATTTGTTCCTTTTTATTGCTGAACAGTGTTTGATTGTACTATATATATTATGTTAGGTTTATCTATTTTTTACTGATGGATATTTGGGTTGGAGTTTGGATATTATAAATAAAGCTAATGTAAATATCACATACATGTCCTTGAACATAAGTTTTTACTTCTCCTAGACAAACAGCTAAAAGTGGAATTAATGAGTCATATGGTAAGTGTATGGAGTCCTGGTGTGGTGCTGTGGGTTAATGCGTCAGACTGCAAAGTCATTTGAACTGCAAGGTCGGTGGATCAAGCTCACCAGCCACTCCTTGGAAACCCTATACAGGGTCGCTATGCGTCGGAATCAACTCAACGGCACTTAACAACAACAACATGGTAAGCATGTATGTAAGTGTTTAAGAAATTAGCGATTACTTTTCAAAGGTCTTCCAATTATTTTTCAAAGTTGTTCTTACCAGCAGGGCATAAGAGTTGCAGTTATTCCACATACTCACCAACATTTAGTATTATCTTTTATATTTTAGTCATTCTGGTGGGTGTCTAGTAGTGTTCCATTTAGTTTCAAATGGCAATTAATTGATAATTAATTAGGCTAAGTATCATTTCATGTGATTCTTGGCCACTTGTACAAGTACCCTCTTCTGTGAAATAATTTTTGCCAATTGAAGAATATTGGGTTTATTACTGAGTTGAAAAATTCTGGATACATATCCTTATCTGTATAACAGGGCTTTAAAAATTCATGGAAAAATGGAATTAAAAGATAGTGGAATTTTTCCATAAACTTTCTGAAATCCCCTCATACATAACACACATGGAGTCCAGGTGTGGTGCTGTGGGATAAAGCACTGTATCACAAAGTCAGTTTGAACCACAAGATCAGAAGTTCAAACTCACCAGTCACTCCTTGTAAACCCTGTACAGGATTTGCGATGAGTTAGAAATGACTCAATGACACTGAACAACAACAACATAACACATATGTACACTTGTTTAATGTATTTTCTTTTCCTAATCCGTGGCTTGTATTTTTATTTCCTTAATAGTTTCTTTCAATGAAGTCTAGTGTATCACTTTATAAAAGAAATTTCTTTTTCCTGTCTACAAAATTTTTGTCTTCCTTAGATTGCTAAGATTTTCTCCAACTTTCCATTTTAAAGTTTTATAGTCCCCGGGTGATGCAAATGGTTAACATACTCGGTTGCTAACCAAATATTTGGAATTCACCTAGAGACATCCTGGAAAAAGTATTAGTGATCTACTTGCAAAAATTCAGCCACTGAAAACCCTATGGAGCATAGTTCTACTCTTAGACATATTCATCCAAAAGGACAAACAAACTATTTCAATACCAGTTGTTTAAAAAGACTATTCACTGTTCTTACTAAATTACTCTGCTACATTTGTTAATAAGATTGAAGATGAATAAAACCTTTATAACCTGACTATGTAATCTAGACACATAATGACTATTTTGAATTCATTTTACTTTGTTTTTGGTAACAATCTAAAAGTCAGAGAAAATCTAGTGATACACTATAAAGCAATTCAGAAACAATCAAACTGGACTTTTTATAAAACTATCATCCTTAACTGTAGATTTTATTATAGTATTGACTTTTTGTGAAATCATAACTTTTAGAAGATGCTATCATTCTTGGGTCTGTGTTTCTGAAATGCTTTGGTGAATAGCATTATGGATCTCATGAATGGCCATCTAAGGCCCATCTGTTGGTATCTCCACAAGCAGAAGAAAGAAGAGTGATTAAAAAAAAAAGAAGAAGATGCTTGGGATCAATTAGTTCAACAGACTAATGGAATATGTGAACATCAGTCTCCATGAATCTGAGACCAAAAGAACTAGATGGTACCAGGCTACCTGACTGCTCTGAAAGGCATCACATTAGAATGTCCCAAATAGAGTGAGAGAAAATGTAGAACAAAACTCAAAATTATAAAACAGACTGGGCTTACTCATCATAGACACTGGAGGAACCCAAGACTATGGCTCTTGGTCATCTTTCAAACCTGGCACAGAACTCACCCTCATAGTACAATTTTCACCTATAACAGTAGATAAGCATGTAGGGGGGACAACACTACTATAGTATGCTCACCATGGAATAAACAACCATTCAAGATCAAAAGGGCAACATTTTGTTGGGGTCTTTCTATTTTTTATTGACCCTCCACTTGACCAAGCAGGATGTCCCTCTCTAGGAACTGGTCTCTCCTGAGTTGTAATATTCTGGATACATATCCTTATATGTATAACAGGGCTTCAAAAAGTTATATATCCAACATATGACATCATATATCCAGAAAATGAGAGATGAAGTATCACCATTTTCACTTCTAAGGAGCATTCTGGCTTTACTTCCACCAACACAGATTTGTTCGTTCTTGTAACAGCCCATGATATTTTCAAAAATCTTTACCAATACCATCATTTAAATGAATCTATTCTACTGCTGTCTTCCTTATTCATTTTTGAACTTTCACACACGAGGCAATTGAAAACACTACGACTT